TACTTTTGATTCCCAACAACTGGAATTCAGAGGTAGACTGCCCTCTGGCTAGGGATCATTGGTAGTCTTATCCTCCCTGAGTCTACCTACTCCTCTCTGAAGGCCATGCAATTTGTGGACATATTTACATCTTGTGGGGGCAAGTCCACAGTTTGACTATGCACTGTGAAGAAGCATTCTAAATCCTCCAACATTCAGGTTCATTGGATGGCCTTAAGTCCTAGTTTTATGGGATACAGAGAAAAGGGTCTTTTTATCCTTTCTCCATACCATGAATACTTTTACAACTCTATCATGTCTCTTTTGCTCTCTAAACTAAAAAGATCCGGAAAATTGTAACCTTTCCCCATAGGAGAGTTGCTCCAAACCAGGATTTCCCAAGCCTGGGTCTCCAACTTTTTCTTTTGGACTACAGTTCCCATCATCCCTGACCACTGGTCCTGCTAGCTAGGGATAATGGAAATTGTTGTCCAAAAAGAGCTGGAGTCCCAAGTTTGGGAAACGCTGCTCCAAACCTTAGATCATTTTTGTTAACCTTTTTAGCGCTTTTCCTAATTCTACAATAACCTTCTTGTGGCATAGTAATAACATGCATTATGATGTTGACAGTTTTCATTTTGAATCCTTCCATAAAAATGCCCAACGTGGAGTTGGTCATTTGCACAACAGCTGCATACAGTGGTACCTCAGGTTAAGAACTTAATTTATTCCGGAGGTCCGTACTTAACCTGAAACTGTTCTTAACCTGAGGTACCACTTTAGCTAATGGGGCCTCCTGCTGCCACCACGCCGCCAGAGCCCAATTTCTGTTCTCATCCTGAAGCAAAGTTCTTAACCTGAAGCACTATTTCTGGGTTAGCGGAGTCTGTAAGCTGAAGCGTATGTAACCTGAAGCTTATGTAACCTGAAGTACCACTGTACTGGGAATATTTCCACTGAGCTTCCCAACGTAACTTCATTTATGAGTAGAAAGTAAAGCACTGTTTTGAACATTCTTTTGATGGCGTGTGATGCATGCCCCGCACTGACATGGCCTCTTTTTTGCTTGTTATTAACATACATATGATATTCTTCCTTTTTCTCACTAGGTGAGTTATGGCTTTCCTCTTCATGATAAAACTCAGTTCCCTTTTGCCTATCGGATGATCCCAAAGGAGAAAACCCAGTACCTGGGGATTGTCCAACTCCTCCTGCATTTTGGATGGACGTGGATTGGAATCTTTGCTCCAGACAATTATAATGGAGAAAGGTTCATAAGTTCCATAACACCTCTGATGCTCACCAATGGAATTTGTGTTGCCTTCTCAGAAAAAATAGTTAATCTATACCAAATCGCCATGCTGACTGAACCACCTATCATGTGGAGAAAAGTCAATGTATTTGTCTACAATGGAGACTCTTCCAATAAATTTGGCATCATCATTAAGGTCCAAAGGATACTTGAAAAGATACAAGCTGGGGGGAAAGTTTGGATCACAACAGCCTTTCCGGACATCAACATGAACTTGTCTCATGATATGAATACTTTCATGTACACCCATGGTTCTTTGTCCTTCATAATGAAGACTAGAAAACAGACAAAATATGACTACTATAAGCCACGGTCTGGCAGAACACTATGGTTCTGGGATAAATCATTTCACTGTTTATGTCCAGAGAATGTGTTGCCCATGAAAGGCTGGACAAGATGCACAGAGAAAGAAAAACTGGAGATTCTTCCCCAAAAGGAGATTGAAAGGGCCCTGTCTCAAGACAGCTACGTTACTTACAGCAGCATCCAAACTGTGGCACTTGCCTTAAGTTCTGCCTATTCATCCAGATCCAAACAGATGCTGATGATGGGCAGAGACGACAGTTGGGGACATGGAAGACTGCAACCCTGGCAGGTACAGTATTCTCCTTTTGCAACATGAATGTAGAAAGTGGTGTCTCCTCACAAATCAGTTTTATGTGCTCTTCTTTTTGACTTGTTCATAAATCATCTAGAGTTGTGCGTGAAAAGTGAGCAAACTAAATGTACTGATGATACCCAATTGTTCTGGGTGGTTAAGAGTAAGAGGGATTGTGAAGAGCTCCAAAAAGAATTTTTTTCCAAATGGAATGAATGGGCAGAAAAATGGCAAATTCAATTCAGTCTAAGCAAGCATATAATTACGTGTATTATTAGATGGTTCAAGGGCAGTTCAGATGGTGAAATCAAGGTTAGAGGAATTTAAGAACAAAGGTGTGGGGGGGGAAGGAAAGTAAGTCATTAGGAGGGCCCAAGCAGTGAATTATGAGAGGTTCCAACCCCCATTGTTGCCAGATGTCACAGAAGGGGAGAATCATGTGAATCAGTCACCATTCCATCTTCTGACTGTGCAGTTCCTTTGGTAACTGAGGAGGTGGGCAGCCAATTTTCAGGGCCAGCTTAATCCAAGGGGGAAGGAGAGACAGAGGGACTGAGTTGGGCTCAGTCAAAAAGAATGGTCACCAACAGCAGCAGCACAAACAGATCCAGCCTACCCAAAGGAACACCTACAGGTACAAGAGGGACCAAGGCTCTTCTTATCTGATGCTCTTACAGAGTAGACAGAAGCAACGGACAAAGGAAGAGAGGACCACTTGAAGCAAAAGATTGGGGGCACAGCAACTTCGCAGTATTCTGAAAGATCCAGTGGCCTTCTGGATCAATAAGAGTACTGTGAAGTTGCTGGGCCCCCAGTCTTTTGCTTCAAATGGCCCCCCTCACTTTGTCTAACTGTAAGGTATGGTTCTGTTTGCATCATTCTCCTAGCTCTGCTCATTTACAAAGTCGGGCAGGAGAAAAGGGAGGACTTAAGAATGTATATCAGCTGTGACTGTGGAAAGCCAACAGCAATCGATTCCTATGAGTCCAGAAGTGCACTGACCCAAGATGAGGACAACCAAGATGACCATTGGTTTGGAAACCGTGCCTTATGAGGAGCGATGGATGGAGCTGGGTCTGTTTAGCCTGGGAAAGAGGAGGCTGAGAGGAGATATGAGAGCCAGTTTCAAGTATCTCAAGGGCTGTCCCATCATGGAATAGGGAGCTGGCTTGTTTTCTCCTGTAGGGTAGGACTTGAACCCATGGCTTCAAGCTACAAGAAAGGAGATTCCAACGAAACATCAAGAAAAAACTTTCTAACATTAAGAGCTGTTTGGCAGTGGAGTGGTCTCCCCCAGGAGGTTGTGGACTCATGTTACTTGAAGGATTTTAAGCAGAGGTTGGATGTCCATTTGTCATGGATGCTTTAGCTGAGATTCCTGCATTGCAGGGGGTTGGGCTAAATGACCCTTAGGGTCCCTTCCAACCTTACAATTCTATGATTCTTTGATTCTGTGAACCTAATTCATAAGCTTCCGGGTATTATTAATTCTTCTTTTTCTCCTGTCAGTCCAGCTTCACCCTTTCTTAAGGAACGTCCAGTTGTTTAACGCCTCCAGGGGTGGACTCTATGCAGATGAGAATGGGGAGCTGACAGCTGACTATGACATTGTGAACTGGATGCTGTTTCTCAATAAGTCTCAAGGCAGAGTGAAAGTCGGGAGCGTAGAGAGACAGGCAGCCTCCCATTTAAAGCTCACCATTAACACAGAAGCCATCGTGTGGCCCTTGCAGTTTAAAGAGGTAGGGGGAAAGATTTATGTGTGCTTTATTACCCTGTGGCATTTGTTAAACTCAAATAATTTACTCTCTATTATACAGGAAATTATTCCTATGCAATTCATTTGCAGTCTAATCTAGGGCTGATTTCAAAGGCCTCCCTCCCCAATTCTCAGCATAAACAGAAAATTAATTTGAATAGGAAAACCACTTTGAGGGTGGTGGGGTTTTTTTACATTTAAGTGGTGTATACATTTTATAAAATAAATAAATACTTAATGAAATAAATATATAAAATGTGGTCATTTTCTATCACTCCCTACACACAGGTAGAGCAGAAACTGCATGCTGGAGTGGGGTCCTATACAATGTCCCCAAAAGTTTTTCCCCACATTATTCACTTTTAAGAAAACCCAGCCTTTTAAAGCATGCCTTTTAAATATGTGAATAATGTTTTAAGTGAGTGAGTAGTATATTATACATATATAATACGATGCAAAATTGCCTAAAATCAAATGGCATCCTGGCTTGATTGGTGCTGGAATATAAAACAACGCGGGTGGCGCTGTGGTCTAAATCACTGATCCTCTTGGACTTGCCAGTCAGAAGGTCGGCGGTTCGAATCCCCGCAATGGGGTGAGCTCCCGTTGCTCTGTCCCAGTTCCTGCCAACCTAGAAGTTTGAAAGCATGCCAGTGCAAGTAGATAAATAGGTACCTCTGCGGCAGGAAGGTAAATGGTGTTTCCGTGCGCTTTGGCACTGGTCGCAGTGTCCCATTGCTCCAGAAGCGGTTTAGTCATGCTGGCGACATGATTCAGAAAAATGTCTGAGGACAAACGCCGGCTCCCTTGGCCTGAAAGCGAGATGAGCACCACAGCCCCATAGTCGCCTTTGACTGGACTTAACCATCCAGGCATCCTTTACCTTTACCTTCATATAACAACAATAATATGATAACACATATCAGTCCATCCATCCAACCAACCGTCCTTGTTTAACATCTTTAATGGAAAGTTTCCATGATCTGACTGACATCCTGACATTCATCTCCATAATGTCACCAATCAGCCTCTGGTACTGTGCCATTCACCCAGTGCCAAGAAAAACTCTGCAGATTCCCTTTTCTTAACAGCTGTTTCCTGTCCTAGTTTATCATCAGGCCTGTGATCTTTCTGCTGCTCTGCCATTGTTGGAGCAGCAAAATTATATACACCAGAGTTGTTTCAAACTAGAAACTTGTACATCAACAGTATTTGCCTATAATGGATGGAGTAGGGTCCTTCTACACCTTATGACTCACTTTCACATCTCTAACCCTTTCCCCTTGATGCTCCTTCACTTAATTGGCAGACCGTGCCTCGCGCCAGGTGTACTGAAAGCTGTCACCCTGGATATGCCAAGTTGGTTCAAGAAGGACAACCTGTTTGCTGTTATGTTTGTGATCCGTGTGCTGCAGGGACAATCTCCACTCAGGAAGGTGGGTGACTCAGGGCTCGTCTACATTTACTTTTTTGCCCCATGCTTTCTTAGGCACATGTCCACACTTTCCCAGTCGGCGATTGTCATTTGCTCTGATTCAATGCTAAAATGCAGGTTTCCTCACGGAAAGCACAGGGATGGGGGAGGGGGAGTGTAGAAATGTGGAACAAAATGAATTCTGGGCGAGTCCTAAATTTTGTTCCTCAGTTGTGAAACCATCGTGCTTTAAACCATGATCGAAATTGTATGGGAAAAATACGGAATAACAGATAGAATCTTGCTTAAAATGTATATAGGAAGTGCAGTGTAAGCGACGGAAGTCAATCAATGAAATTTTATTATTTTCATATTGAGATATTTGTAGAATAAATTTGGAAGAAATTCTTCCAACTTTTCTACTTCTTTTTTTCTTTATTTTTTCTTCTTTTTTCGTTTCTTCTTTTTCTCTTTTGTTCCTATTTTCATGTATATGTGCTTATTTGAAGTGTATATGTGTGTATGTACTTGTGTTTTGCTTATATTTTGTAACAATTATGTTAAATTTAAAAAAATAAAAAATAAACCATGATGGAGTGTAAACAAATAAACAACTTAGTTTTATTTAAGAGGTGCTTCCTCATACGTTGAACCTCTGGGTAGGGAATGAGTGGACACTGGACAGTGTTCACAGAAGTACTATATTTTACTGCTGCTTAATCATAAGCACTACCACAAAGAGTTAATTCTAGCACTCTCCTGTGTTAATAACAGTGAGAGGTGTATCTATTAACACATGAATAAATTTGGTCATGTTACCCAGTACCCATCTTCAGTGCAGGCGACTGTCACAATTGGATCAATATCTTTTGCCCAAAATGGGAAGTCTGGATCACAATGCCTAGAAAGAGTGTGTGATTGTTGTTCTCAGGCATTTCCAGCTATCTCAAATAGGTTGTCAGGAATGAGCCAGCTCCTAGTGGAACTTTACAGCCGGCTGCAGAACAGAGATGGTTAGATCTGATGCAGGCTGAACAGCGGCCAGTGCCCAGTGCACCTCCTTCGGACATTGGAATGCCGGTTGCCAAGGGAACGACTGAGAGCAGGCTGGAACACAGCCAAAGCTCTCAGGAAGCTCAAACAAGCATGAACAGACACAGAGATAGTTTGTTGGAAAAGGAAGAGGCTGGAGCTGATCCAATAAGTCCAAGTCCGCGGCGAATGGGAGGGCTGCTAGACAGGAAGCAAAACAAGAGATGTAAGGGGCGACGGTTCAATATTTTCTGTAGACATAGGAAGGAGTCTTCAGAAGGGTCATCTTGAATGGTAATGTCAGTGGCTTCGTTAGAGCTGCTCGGAGCTATCTGTTTGTTTTTGCAATAAATCCTGCTTTTTAATTACCTATGCTTACTATGTTATCAAGCTGGGAACCTGGACTCCTGACATAGGTCCTGCAGAAAGAAAGTGTGATAACTTGTTTCTCGATGAATTGGATAATGTGAGATGAAAGAAATAACTTCAGGACAGAAAGCACAGAGTTGGTCTTATGGATGCTGCTGATTTCATTCCCACCCTACTTTATATATGATTGGGACAGATGAATATTCTGGAGTATAAACTATCATGCTGAAACATATATATTATGGAATGTAACAGAATACATAATATTACTCTTCTAAGCTTCCTGTTAGGACTACTGAATGCTCTCCTCTTACTTTCAGATGCAGACTATTGCACCACATGTCCAGAAGATCAGCACCCAAACGAGCACCAAAATCAATGTGTCCCCAAGGTTATCACCTTTCTTGCCTATGAAGACACTTTAGGGATCACATTGGCGTCCTTTGCCCTAATCCTCTTCTTAACCACCGGTTTTGTTTTTGCCATCTTTATTAAATACATGGACACTTCCATAGTCAAAGCCAATAACCGAGACCTCTCCTACATACTTCTTGTATCTCTCTTGCTTTCCTTTTTGTCCTCCTTCCTTTTCATCGGCCGCCCAAGGAAAGTGACCTGCCTTCTCCGACAAACAGCCTTCAGCGTCATCTTCTCAGTTGCTGTTTCTTCTGTGTTGGCAAAAACCATCACAGTGGTGCTGGCCTTCCTGGCTACAAAGCCAGGGAACAAGGTGAGAAGATGGCTGGGGAAAAGTCTGGCCAATTCCATTATCATATCCTGTTCCAGTGTACAAGTTCTCATCTGCACCATCTGGCTGGGCATGTCTCCCCCTTTCCCGGAGTCTGACATGCACTCCCAGCCCCGAGAGATCATCCTGCAATGCAATGAAGGGTTTGTGGCCATGTTTTACAGTGCCCTCAGCTACATGGGCTTCCTGGCTGCCATCTGCTTCACAGTGGCTTTTCTAGCCAGGAAGCTGCCTGGGGCCTTCAATGAAGCCAAGCTGATCACCTTCAGCATGCTGGTTTTCTGCAGTGTTTGGGTGTCCTTTGTTCCCACCTACCTGAGCACCAAGGGGAAATACATGGTAGCTGTGCAGGTCTTCTCTATCTTGGCCTCCAGTGCTGGACTTCTGGGCTGCATCTTCCTTCCCAAGTGCTACATTATTGTGCTGAGACCTGATCTGAATACAAAGGAGCATCTCACAATGAAAATTAAATGAGGCATCTAATTCGTAAAATATTTAGGAAGGAGGAGTTACAGCTTTTAAGGATAATACTATGTGTAATGCTACTGAATGCACCCTTCTTCTCCACCAGATATAGTTTGTGAATTGGTACTGATCTTACTTTTTCTTGGAAGGTGTCTCCATCTGGTGTTAAGTAATTCTAGGGATTCTCTGAACTTCTGCATGGAGGAAAGAATTGAAACATAAACCAAAAAGTTGTGACAGCTCAGGAGAGGATACTGATATCCCTGTTGGGTGATAATGCCGAGGCCGGTGCCTCCCCCCCAACGCAGCGTCGCCCAGGATTCATCACTCCAGTGTCCTGTCACGCTAATGTGGCCCATATCCAAGGACACGAGCACACAACAAGCAGAGTTCAAACAGAAGCTTAGCCTTGAGGTGTAACATCTAAGCCTAATTTATTGCAAATTAAATCAAACATAACAGAACAAAGAAAAACATGGCTTCTCTCTCTGTCTTTCTTCCTCGGAGAAAGAACTGCAAAAGCAATAGCAATACAAAACGGAACAGCGTATCTCAATTGCCGCTAACGAGACTCCAATAATCAGTGCTGGAATGTAAACAGACATGTGACATGTAACAATCCCACACATCTAAGGCACGGGAGGAATGGAATTCTCAACAATCTCTTCCAACAGGGAAGGGCTGTAGCTCAGTGGTTGAACAGTGGGTCCAGGTTGAATCCTTGGCATTTCAGGTTGGGCTGGGTGAATGTCCCCTGGCTGAAAAGAACCCCTGTCCACCTGTGTAGACACAATAGACCTAGATGGACTAATGATTCAACAGTACACGGCAGCTTCCTATGTTCCTAAGAAAATTATCCCCACTTTCTAGGTCCTGTGCAAATTTATCTTAGTCTTCTGTGCCAAGACAAGAGAGGCCAACTGACATTTCTAAATACTTTCTCTTCCCTCTCCGGATCCCTCTCATGTCTTCTGCCTGGACTAGTTGCTGAGGAGGAAGAACCTTCGTTCAATTTTTCTGAGGGCTCCATTTCTACATTCCTGCAGTCAAAGTACCTTCTGCAGGGGACATGGCCTTCCCTTCTTCCACTGTTTTGTTAGTGCAGAGTTCTTTGTTTGAAGACTCGGGCGCTGGAAATGGAGGGTGAGAAATATTTTAAATAAAATAATAACAAATGGGTGAGATAAGCCGAATGGAGAGCAGATGAGAGGAGAAAGAACCAGTCCAGAAGTAGGATGCCCATGCTCTGAGGATACATTTTGGAGGGGAAATCCTGAGGTTCAGTTGACTGAACTGGATTGACTTAAATGCCAGAGGAGAAAGTTCTGCATGTTTCTGTGGGAATTTCAGGGGTGTCAGGGACTGGGCAGATGAGGAGTAGTGGTGGAGACTTCCACCTCAAGAAGCCTCCAAGCAGGAGGAAAATGGGGATACAATGGACCCAGATTAGTGGTGGTGACAAACAGGACACACCTCAGAAGAAACAAAGAGCTGAGAAATAATGGGAGATGAGGAACCAGCAGATGCTCTAGTTCTGAACAGGGACAGGACTCAGAAGTCAGAGAAACAGTACTCAGACAGTGGACACTACATCACTTGAAAGCCTGGTGGAACCTCCTCCTTCTCCACAGACCAGGCGATTCCTTCATATCTTAGAGCAGAAGGCTAAACAGAGACAGAAATATTCCATTGCTAGCCACCGTAGACAGTAAGGAGGGTTTTGGAAGCTAGGAAGTGCCACAGGAGGGGTGGAGCACGCACTCTGAGCAATGTCTTGAGACTGACGAGAGCATAATCCATAGTCTCTATGTGTGTCCTGATGGTTTAAATAAAAGAGCTAGCAGAACCTCTCTGTGTCTCTGATTTCTCCAAGCAGCTAGCCTGGGAGTCATGATGGGGAAACAGTAAAACTGGACATTAACATTCATCACAAACTATTCTCTTTCATTGTCCCCTAACCACTTAGTCCCACATAACCCTACCCTGCCTTATAATCCAGTAGCATTGCAGTTAATGATGGTGAAAAGGCAGGCAAACTGGTCAAATCAGACAGGCACAGGAGAGAATCTATAGGACAGAAATAGGAGAGGAGAGAGCCAGTCAGGAATCATGACCCTTATCTCAAGTTTCAAATGGGATGCAGTTTTGCTCTTTGCATTTTCTGCCAAGTTCAAAATACAACCTGTTGGTGCAAAAATGCCAAACTGACCACGAGGCCGTCAATGGACATATAATCTGTGGTCTGCTGTGCTCCTTCGTTTTCTTTCTTTCTTGTTAGCCTCCTGTAGTTTTAGTGGCTGACTGACAGAGAGCAGTTCTCCTGAGGAACCTTTTCATAGCGTGCAAATCTAATGATGATTGCCTGTGAGTAAGGATGCCTCTGAGGCACTCACTAGCAGCACAAGAGCTCTGCCAGCAAGAAAAGTGGCAGCTTTTATTTCTGAGAACATGAGCAGAGCTTATGCTGCTTGTGACATCATACATTATGGCATAATGATGAGCTTGTATCTCTAGCTCAGGTCGCCTCCATGGTAACGCCAGGGGCCAATTTTCCTCTGCAACTGTGAGTGAGGAGGAGGAATTAGAATCAGAGAGAAGGGCTCACATTGCAGACTGGGCCTCAGTCACGCTCTGCTGGCAGCAACATGGTGGAAGACTCGAGGAGAAAAGGACCAGGATTGTGGCGGTCAGGTGGGATTGCTATGAGGGATTATGAAAAATGGAACAAGCCATTGTGTCGCAATGAAAGCATTGCTTAACTGGGTTTGAGTCATTGACAGTCATTTCTGACCGAATCCCACAAGCCTCTGCACCTCTGCCATTTTCTTTCTCTACGCCTGACAGGGACGTATAAGCATTCTAAACACAGGCCAGTTGTTCACCAGGCATCCTGAGCCATAAAGATAGAAGGTAGCTTTGATTTAGCTTTTGTTAGTTTTGTTAATCTTTAGATAGATCTTAAGGGCCAGAAACACAGTTTACACAGAGATGGTAAATGCATTCCTCCTTGGTTCTTGTTTATTTAGCTTAACCACGTATGCATGCTCAAGTAGGAAATAATTTCTTTGTAGTTAAAAGGATTTCTTCTGATCTGACTTTGTCCCATGTGGGGGTTTTTGAAATGTTCAAAGGAAATCTGATTGGTTCTTACGAACACTGTGTAAAAAGTTCTTTTGTGAATAAAACGACCTGGGCCAAGGGGTGGACAGATTATTATTGGTACTCCTCCCACAGTCTTGCTGGTCAAGCCTCGTGTGTATTTTATTAATCAGGGTGCAATCCTTCCTTGCTTTTGGAACGCAACACAGGATAAATTAAAGGGGAGGGAGGATGGATATAGCCAGAAAAGTAGGGATGAAGTGAGGAATAAATAAAGAGAATCCAGTTGGGAGAGGTCTGAAATGAGGTCTGTTGTCAAGTACGGGAGTTCCCATCTTCCTTCTGGTAGCTCACCGATAAGAATTAATGAACATTTGGTAGATTTATTTTCCTTTTATTACAGCATTATGTTGCAAGCACAAACAGGCAATCCTCCGTAAGGATATCAGTTGCTTACTCTGATTCCTCCTCACTTCCACAGCAAGAAGCACGCCAACGGGAAGTCCCTCCCCACCCCACTCGTCTCCTTTGTTCTCTGACACGCTTGGACCTCCAAGTTTGGAGGGAGGGAGGGGATCCTACACACACACTCTCGACTTATGTATTGGCTAGCTGTTCTCTCAGGATGTGGGCCTCTGCCATTGATTAAAGGAATGGGGTGAGGTCAGCCAGCTCACAAGAAAGATGCACACTTTTCCTTGACAGAAGAGGGAGAAACTGGACAGAAATAGCGGGGGAAGGGATTTGAAAAGGAAACAGTTGAAGGAAATCATCTTCCTCCTTCATACATGATAATTTCCCCTTTTAGACACCGTTTGTGAGTTGGTACAAGCCTTGCCTTTGTTCCTCAGGTTTCTCTTTCTTGGGTTACTTAATTATAGAAGCTGTATGTTTCATTGGGGAACTTGATTGGCCTCCACCGTCACTTACGGACACATAGAAGACAATCTTACTTGGCTATGAGTGATTGCCAAAGAAGTAGCTACAATAAACACCAGTAAGGCCTGCACACAGTTGGCCAGACTTCCAACCAATACGCTCATCATCCCACAAGAAAAAGCTGGTCTTATGCTGACAGGCAGGACAGTGAAATGGGGCTACCCAACAGACATGAGAAGTGTTTCTGCATAGTGGCCGGGCAGGGTAGCAGGAGAGGGATGAATCCCCCTTCCCCGTTCATATATAGCCTAAAAGTAAGACCATTTCAACCTTGCCTCTTCTGCAACTGTTTCTTCATTTCAAAGTTTGCAAAGTTCAGTCACACAACCCGTCGCTGGCCCAAACTCTGAAACGACGTCAGCGATTTCTTGCAAACATGTTTTTCCTGTTCAATGAACCACACAGACAGACCCGGGAGTTGCAGTGGTAAACTTTATTTCTCATATAATTATGAAAATTATAGTGGTTTATTCTTCTCCTGAAACCAAAACTCCAGGGATTTCTCCAGAGCTCACTAATCTAAACATCACCATCAAGGGTCGTATGATGCAGCTTATCACGTGGATAGCAAAGTAACATAAATCCTCCTCAAAATTATAAATAGATATTGTTTATTAATAAGCCTGAGGTGAGATTTTGGGCAGGCTGAGTCTATGCCAGTTTCTTTCACTACCTTTAAATCTGAATTCATGGCTGGTCTGAATGGCGGTGACTGTCTCTGGTGCTGCTAGAATGATATCACTGCTCCTGTGCCAGGCAGCCTGGGGGATGCATAAGGCAAAATGCTCGTTCAATCTCTCCTTGTATTTACAGGAACCAGTGAATTATTATAGGTTAGGGGACTACCTTGTGAGTGGAGTCATCTCTCCAAAACTTGCTGTATTGGAACCCTATGTCTTCTCCCAGCCACCTTTCATTGGGATTCTTGAGTAAGTAACTACATGCTGAAGGAGTTAATTCTGCCCCACCTGCATTGTGACTGACCTCAGCTAACAGGGGGTGACAGACGATATTGGTGTGAGTTGGGGGAAAGGTGTTAGGCAGCCAGGCCAGTTTCTTGATAGGTAAAGGGATCCCTGACCATTAGGTCCAGTCGTGGCCGACTCTGGGGTTGCGGTGCTCATCTCACTTTATTGGCCGAGGGGGCCGGCGTACAGCTTCTGGGTCATGTGGCCAGCAGGACTAAGCCGCTTCTGGCAAACCAGAGCAGCACACGGAAACGCCGTTTACCTTCCCGCTGGAGCAGTACCTATTTATCTACTTGCACTTGACGTGCTTTCAAACTGCTGGGTTGGCAGGAGCAGGGACCGAGCAACGGGAGCTCACCCCGTCGCGGGGATTCGAACCATCAACCTTCTGATTGGCAAGTCCTAGGCTCTGTGGTTTAACCCACAGCACCAACCACGTCCCTCTAGTTTCTTGATAATGACCTGCTAAGTATGGCTCGTTCAGGTAACAAAGGAGGAGGCTTCATGCCAGAAAACAACTGGCTGGTAGGTAGAAAGATGAAAGCCCAGGTTGAGGTGTGTGAGCCAGAAGCTAGAAACAGGCTCTAGGTTGATATTTAACACCAGCTAAACTTGCTAAAATGTACAAGACAAGAACCAATAAGTGTTGGGAATGTAAAGAAGGGGAAGGTATCTTCTACCACATGTGGACTTGCAAAGAGGTAAAGGCTTTCTGGGAAATGGTATATAATGAGTTATATAAAATGTTTAAAAATACTTTTGTTAAAAAAACAGAAGCCTTTCTATTGGGCATAGTGGGTGACGAGATACCAAGGGAAGATAAAAGACCGTTTATGTATGCAACAACTGCAGCAATAATTCTTTTATCCCAAAAATGGAAACAAGAAGTACCAATGAATGAAGAGTGGCAGATGAAGATGATGGACTTTTCAGAAATGGCGAAGCTGACAGGAAAAATCTGAAACCAGAACGATCAAATATTTCTAAAGGACTGGAGTAAATTTATACGATATCTGAAAGATAATTGTAAGCAATTAACATCACTAGCAAGGTTGTCTGAAGGCTTGTAATGAGAAATTTTCTATCTTTCTATATTAATTTAATTTTTTGAGATATTTTGTAATGAGTGTAATTAGAACTGGATAACGTATAAATTGCAATGATATAAAGGTTAATTTTGAAAGGTTTTATATTATTATTATTCTTTGGCAATCACTCGTAGCCGAGTAAGATTGTCTTCCATAAACACAATTTTAACAATGAGTCCATAAGTGACTGTGGAGGCCAATTCTGGATCCACACGTCCTTCCACAATGTTCTGCAATGTCAGCCTCCTTATTATCATGTCCTAATTCTTGTACTTGCTTTCTTCGCTTCTCTAATAAAGCAAAACAGCATATATTCCATTATACTCTCCCTTTATTAAAGAAAGAACGTGGCATCTTGTTTTCACTGAGAGAAAAATGGGAGGTTGTCGTAACTGTTTGTTTGCTTGCTTGCTTATTTGCAGAACTTCTCCTACAAGATACTGGCATGTCCTGTCCTTCTTATTTGCCATTCATGAAATCAATCAGGAGCCCAATCTCTTACCCAACATCACCCTCGGATACAACCTCTTTGACACCTATTTTGATGGCAGACTGGTTTCCGCTGCCATGCTAAACCTGCGTTCTACTGGAGAAAAGAGTATTCCAAACTATTTCTGTGGAACAAGGAAGAATGCATTGACTGTCATTGAAAGGGCTGAATCTGACATCTCCATCCAGATTTCAAGCATGGCAGGCATTTACAAAATCCCACAGGTATGGACTTGGATGACCACCTATTGGATGACCACCTATTGGAGATAGTGGATGGTTTCTTTCAATGCCTCCCACTTTTATTTCTTGATGGAATTGTCTGTATCTTGTCCACCCTGCATAAACATATGTGGAACTAAGTAAGAGGGTGAGGACAGCAGACGAAGAGAGAAGCCCAGAGATAATAATAATAATAATAATAATAATAATAATAATAATAATAATAATTATATCCCGCCCTCCCTGGCCAAAGCCGGGCTCAGAGCAGCTAACAACAGTAAAAATAGCACAATTTACATCAAATCACAGTCAATTAATTAAAATACATTCTAAAATCAATTCAGAATCAAATTAATGGCATAACCATTGGGCTAGAGTTCTATGAGGATTACAGAAGGAGAGAGGGGGGTCAGACTGTGCCTTGACACAACCAGGCACAACCAGAAAGTTACTCAACACAAAAAGTATATATAGACAGACCAGGAGGGTCAGAGAGAGTTAGGAGTTGAAATAAAGCTTGTATAAATAAAGTTACATGTTTTATAATACTCCTACTTGATTCTGAATGATAATCAACACCACTTGAAACACCGGCACAAAGTCTCTATCCATCCACAAGTCTATGCCTTAGTTTAGCAGATTTTCAATTATATTCAATACCGTCTCATGAAAGTGATGTTTCTCCTAAGTATTCAAGACACTTTTCCCCCTTCTCTCTGGACACACACACAACCTAGTGTGCTGAAGAAGAACAATATATAGGCTTAAAACCACCATTTACACTGGGCTCAGTGAAGGTAAGGAGGAGGTTCAGCCCTCATAGTGGTGTCCTCAAAGATACTTCCACTTGATCTGTTGTTGAAGTGAAAGGTTATCAATTACTCATCCTCAGCTGACAGGTCGAGCTCTTTTAGGTTTTTGTTTCTTATGAACAGATACCTGGTATCCTTTCTTTCCTCACTAGGTCAGTTACGGCTTTGCTCTTGATGATAAAACTCAGTTCCCTTTTGTCTACCGGATGATCCCAAAGGAAGAAATCCAGTACAGGGGGGTTATCCAACTTCTCCTGCAGTTTGGATGGACGTGGATTGGAATCTTTGCTCCAGACAATGACAATGGAGAAAGGTTCTTGAATGCCTTGACACCGTTGATGACTAGCAGTGGAATTTGTTTTGCCTTCTCAGAAAGAATACAACACATGACAGCGTACCAAATGAATGAACTACCTGCCAGGTGGAGACAAGTCAATGTATATGTTTATTATGGGGACTCGTCTTATGATTTTGTGCCACTATTCCACCTACAAGAAATATTTGAAAATTTACAAGCTGGGGGTAAAGTCTGGATCACAACAGCTTTTCCAGACATCAACATGAATTTGAGTTACGATATTGATTTCTTCATGTACACCCATGGTTCTTTGTCCTTCACCATGAAGACTAGAAAATGGACAAAATGTGACCACTATGAGCCATTCTCTGACAAAATACAACAATTTTGGGAGAAGTCATTTCACTGTTCATGTCCAGAGAATGTGCTGCCCATGAAAGGCTGGACAAGATGCACAGAGAAAGAGAAACTGGAGATTCTTCCCCAAGAGGAGATTGAAAGGGCCCTCTCCCAAGACAGCTACGTTACTTATAGCAGCATCCAAACTGTGGCACTTGCCTTAAACTCGGCATATTCATCCAGATCCAAACAGATGCTGATGATGGCTAGAGGAGACAGTTGGGGACGTGGAAGACTGCAGCCATGGCAGGTATTCCCTTTTGTTAATTGCAACCTACTGTCTAATTCTGGAATCATTGTCCTTCACTTAAATGGTGCCCCAAATGTGTTGATTCAAGTGGATGACTTCACCCTACCTGATATTAGAATTTGACCTTAGGGTTCACACTGAGTTTTTATACGTGATGAAGCTGGCTCTGCTGATCTCCAAAATATTGAAGGAGAAAGTGGGGGGCGACGATTTAAGAATGAATCTCAGATTTGACTGTGGAAAGCCAACAGCAGTCAACCACTATGCGTCCAAATGTGACACAGGTCCCAATTCATAGGAGATTAGAGTGTTGGAGGTGTAATAGAATGACTGGAACCTTATACCATATGTGGTGGCCATGTCCGGAAATTAAGAAATATTGGAATATGATACATGAGGAAATTAAAAAGCTAATAAAAACATAATAAAATAGCAGAGTCATATTCATTAGGAATTTTGAATGGAGACATCCCGAATGACAAAATTAATATTTTCTTGTACACGACAACAGCAGCGAGAATGTTAATAGCCAATAATTGGAAAGGAAATTACGTTCCAACTAAAGAAGAATGGCTGAATAAATTATGTGAATACTTGGAATTAGCAAAGTTGACTGATTTGATAAGACAAAAACCAAAAAATATAAGCCAGAAGCAATGGAAATGTTTAAATGATTATTTATGTAGACAAAGATTAAATGTAAAGTATTTGTTGTATTTATAATAGATTTATGAAAGATTTTAAAAACATTGTTTAGAATATTTGTGTGAGATTGTATGGGAAAAATATGGAATAACAGATACAATCTTGCTTAAAATGTATATAGGAAGTGCAGTGTAAGCAATGGAAGTCAATAAATGAAATTTTATCAATATTTTCATATTGAGATTTTGTAGAAAAAAATTGGAAGAAATTCTTCCAACTTTCTTTCTTTTCTCTCTCTATTTTTTCTTCTTTTTTCTTTTCTTCTTTTTTATATATGTGTGCTTATCTGAAATATATATGTATATTTTGCTTATATTTTGTAATAATTATGTTAAATTAATTAATTAATTTAATAATAATAATAATAATAATAATAATAATAAAGGAGGGGGAAAGAGTGCAATATACAATAGGCTTCAGTACTTTCTTAATGCTGGTATTTTCTCTGTCATCCCAGCTTCACCATTTCTTAAGAAACGTCCAGTTGTTTAACACCTCCAGGGGCGGATTGTATTCAGATGAGAATGGGGAGCTGGCAGCCGATTATGACATTGTGAACTGGGTGCTGTTTCCCAACAAGTCTCGTGGCAGAGTGAAAGTCGGGAGGGTAGAGAGACAGGCAGCCTCACCTTTAAAGCTCACCATTAACCCAGAAGCCGTTGTCTGGCCTTCACATTTCAACAAGGTAGGCAGAATGAATTGTGTGCCTGTCCCTTTGTGACGTCTATTAAGCTCAAATAACTTACAGGGTGTATTCAGAAAATGAACTTATTCCTATCCGATTGATTTTCTCACTAGTCTAGGGCTGATCTCAGGGATTATAGAAAGAGCAGAGAGCCTTTTCAAGTTTATGTAGCTGAGTTATCTACTTTAGCATGTGTTCTGATGTCTGGACCGACCGGATGAACACATTCGAAACAGGGATTTCCATCCAGCGATCTCATTGTCCCATTTGGGATTTCACATGACTGGAGCCCTGGCACTATGGTTTGAGTGATGGAGAGCAATGCAACAAAACTCCCGGTAATGTGGGCAGTTTTTTCCAGCCTGTGGATTATCCTTCAGCAGCAAGTACACTTGTAGATATCCGTTTCTCTTTATTGAATGAAGGAACGTTTGGATGGAACTTTGGTCTTGAGACATCACATATTGCACTTGAACCTGATTTTGGGATTGCATACATTATGTAAAAGCTACATTTAAAGAAACGGAAACTTGTTTTTACATTTTGTCTTTGGAAATTTCTATAGAATTGCGTACAGAGTTGTATGAGCTGTGCTTCTTTAATGTAATATATGCATAATCTGAGTGGCAACTGGACACTGGATTCCAAAAGTCGCCAGTCACCCTTTGGCTCAGTGCCCTCCTTCCAGTGCCAATAAAACTGCCACATATTCCCTTTTCTTTCTTTCTTTTGTTAGATCATTTTAATTAATTTTCCAGTAAAAGACATCCAACTAACATATCAAATCATAATCCAATAAAAATAAAAAACTGAAATAAAAAAGGTCGAATTCTCTTCCGAATTGTAAAATTTTAATTTTACGGCTTCCCATAGTCTGAACCTTGAAGCATGTCCAAATCTCAGTCCTGCTTCTCGTCGATATTTCCATATTTCCACATCTCGATTTTAACGCTCCAAACTTCTTTGTCTCTGGCTCTGCGATCCTCAATCATGTCAGAAATCATATAACCGTTCATCTGTCGAATACAGATTTGTTTATGTAATATACTTTTTCAACTGTGTGTGTATATATATATATATATATATATATATATATATAGTGTGTATATATATATATACACACTAGCACAGCTTCATCTGGCTCCATTCCAATCTGGGCTGTTATCCAACTCTCTGAAAATTAACGTCATGGCAACTCCCAAATTGTTAATCCTTCCCATCCAAGTTGTTGTCCAAACCTTCCTTTTAAGATTTGGAAATACAGTACCTTCCACTTATTGAATTGTTCTTCATAATTATTAAGCAGACTGTTTGCTGTATTGCAGTACAGTGGTACCTCGGGTTACATCCGCTTCAGGTTACAGACTCCACTAACCCAGAAATAGTACCTCAGGTTAAGAACTTTGCTTCAGGATGAGAACAGAAATTAGGTGGCAGCAGCGGGAGGCCCCATTAGCTAAAGTGGTGCTTCAGGTTAAGAACAGTTTCAGGTTAAGAACAGACCTTCGGAACGAATTAAGTACTTAACCCGAGGTACCACTGTATATCAGTCATTTGGCAATCGATCAGCCTTCCTGAAAACCACCCAGTCCCCTCTCCGGGCCCTAGAGGGGGGACATATTCCCTTTTCTTAACAACTATGTCCTCTCCTAGCTTAGTATCAGACGTATGATCTCTCCTTGGCCCTCTGCTCTGAGATAATTGGAGCAGCAAAATTATGTACGCCAAAGTACTTTCTAAGCCATGCACTAGAGCATCAACAATATTTACCTAAAAGGGGGGGGGAGGTAGGGGAATCCATTGGGGTCATTCCAAACCCTATGACTCACTTCCATACCCTAACAATTTCCCTTCGATGCTCCTTTACTTTATGGTTAGACAATGCCTCGCTCCAGGTGTACCAAAAGCTGTCGACCTGGATATGCCAAGGTGGTTCAAGAAGGAGAGCCCATTTGCTGCTATGCTTGTGCTTCATGTATGGAAGGGACAATCTCCACCCAGGAAGGTGGGTGACTCCAGGGGAGAGGGCATTTGAAATATACTCAGAGTCGCAAAGTGATTTCATGCTCTTTATTCAGCTCATAGTGGTGAGGCGGGAATGGAAGTCCCCTCAAAGTATCTGCTTTATATACATTATTTACACAATGGGCTGCACGTGATTGGCTAATTCCGGAATTCTCCTGTAGGCCAATCAGGTTGTGGATTCACTTCTATCTGGAGCTGGATTGGGTGGCTCCTGCAGACCAATCATACTGCTGCATTGTTCTAGGACCAATCAGACTGCTGCATTCTGAATCCTATTGTTCTAGGACCAATCAGACTGCTGCATTTTGGATCCTATTGTTCTAGGACCAATCAGACTGCTGCAGTTTGGATCCTATTCAACTCAGTACATAACAGCATTCTTTGGGAGAACTGAGATAGGGCAGAGATCCAATAAAAGGCTGACAAGGAAAACAGTAAGAGAAAAAAGAGAAAGGTAGAGAGGGAAACGAAGACAGAAGTGTCTGACGTGCTCTGGTTCATGGGGTCACGAAGAGTCGGACACGACTAAATGACTAAACAACAACAACAACAACAGAGAGGGAAACTGTGCACATCAAAGAATGCATGGAGGAGAGGTGGAGAGAAACAGGCACTTGGGGGAGGTAGCAGAGTACACATAGAATAGTAGAAACATGGTTGGAAGGGACCCCAAGGGTCATCTAGTCTAAAGCCCTGCAATGCACACTGAGTGTGAAAGGAGAAAGGCAAAAAAAAATGGTAGGCTATTAATAAAAATGCCAAGAGGCATGTAGAGGAGAGAAGGGGTGTGTGTGCTTCTCTGTTTAGAGTTATTAGATCAATATATTCTGCACAAAAGGGGGAGGTGGAATCACAATGCCTAGAGAACCAGTGCTTATGCTGAACTATGGAACTCCCTGCAGCGTGGAAAGAATGTCACAGTTTGCATCTAAATCATGACTGTTGCCCTTAGTAGTTTCTAGCCATTTTTAATCGGCCCTAGGGAGATAACGTGTGAGAACCTCTGCCACAATGAATTACATGGCTTCAACTAGGGCCAGGGCCTTTTCAGCACTGGCCCCGACGTGGTGGAATGCTCTGTGACAAGAAACTAGGGCCCTGCGGGACTTGACATCTTTCCGCAGGGCCTGCAAAACAGAGGTGTTCCACCTGGCCTTTGGTTTGGACTCGGTCTGACACTTATGTTTCCCTCCACTTATGGTCTTGATTTATCAGCTACTTTAAAATGAGGCAGCATTTTAAATTGCATTTTAACCTGTATTTTAAATTGGTTTTCCTCCCTTTTCCTTCACCCCCCTCTCTTTCCCCCCATTATGTTTTTACTGTGATTTTATTGGTGTTAGCCGCCCTGAGCCCGGCTCTGGCCGGGGTGGGTGGGGTATAAATAATTTTTATTATTATTATTATGTTAGTTTTTTTTCTTTTTAATTGCCTTGGAATGCACACTGCAGGAGAGATAGTTTGGGGGATTTGCCCACAGCAAATATAACCTTTTGTGATTCTAATCTCCCTCTGTTTTAAATGTGATTTGGACATGCTAATCTCTAAAGATACAAGCCTGATTCTCTTATTTATGTTACGGCTACTAAATTTGCTCCCCTTCCTTTCAGATGCAGGCTATTGCACCAAATGTCCAGATGATCAGCATCCAAACAAGGACCAAAATCAATGTGTCCCCAAGATCACCACTTTCCTTGCCTACATCGAACCTTTGGGCCTCATCCTAGCTTCCTTTGCCCTATTCTTGTCCATAACCACAGTATTTGTTTTAGGAATCTTCATTAAATACAAGGAAACTCCGATAGTCAAAGCCAACAACCAGGACCTCTCCTACATCCTCCTCATCTTCCTCGTACTCTCTTTTTCATCTTCATTCCTGTTCATTGGTCAGCCAATGAACACAACCTGCCTCCTCCGACAAACGGCCTTCAGCATCATCTTCTCAGTTGCTGTGTCTTCTCTCTTGGCCAAAACCATCACCGTGGTGCTGGCCTTCCTGGCCACAAAGCCAGGGAACAGGGTGAGGAGATGGCTGGGGAAGACCTTTGCCAACGCCATTGTCATTTCCTGTTCCAGTGTCCAACTTGTCATCTGCACCATCTGGCTAGGGATCTCTCCTCCTTTCCCTGATTCTGATAAGCACTCCCAGCCTGGGGAGATCATCCTGCAATGTAACGAAGGATCTGTTGCCATGTTTTACACTGTCCTTGGCTACATGGGCTTCCTGGCTGCCATCTGCTTCACGGTGGCTTTCCTGGCCAGGAAGCTGCCTGGGGCCTTCAATGAAGCCAAGCTGATCACCTTCAGCATGCTGGTCTTCTGCAGTGTTTGGGTGTCCTTTGTGCCCACCTACCTGAGCACAAAGGGGAAATACATGGTAGCTGTTCAGGTCTTCTCCATCTTGGCCTCCAGTGCTGGGCTTCTGGGCTGCATCTTCATCCCCAAATGCTACATTATTGTACTGAGGCCTGATCTGAATACAAAAGAGCACCTCTCAACAAAAACAAAAGATGGCATCTGATACTTAGTTCTCAAGAAAGGGACCATTTTCTAAGGAAAGGAAAGGGGCCAGAATCCTGGCTTCCATTGGAGGCAAACAAAATTCTCAAAAAGATACAGAACCTCCTGCTTCCTAAAAGATTTTCAGGTTCCCTCTTCTTTTTCCATACCACATGCCTTCTCCGTAGTGGCACCCATCCTGCGGAACGCCCTCCCATCAGATGTCAAGGAGATAAATAACTATACAACTTTTAGAAGACATCTGAAGGCAGCCCAGTAGAAAGGGTCATGCATGAAGTAATTGTGTAAAAAATGCTATAAAAGTGCCTTGAAAGGTATGCTTTTTGCTCACTCTTTTGAGAAATTCCACTCGGCCAATTTGAGTTGCCGCTTGAATAAACCTGTGCTTTTTCCACACACTGTTGTCCTCATTGGCTTGAAGAACTGGCGTAGCCTAGACCCTCTTTGGTAGGGTAAACCCTGAACCTATTTCAATGTTCTCGGACCTACTAAAATCTCAATAGATTCACTGCAATATATGCTGATCTACTGATTGTCTGGCAGGGGGGGCATACATTCAGATGAGGCAGATCTACTAATATTTGGCCATAACATTAATTTTTCTTAAAATGCACAACAAAGCAGCAGTTAACTCTGCATCTGTTGGTTAAGAGCAGTGGACTCGTAATCTGGTGAACCAGGTTCGCGTCTCCGCTCCTCCACATGCAGCTGCTGGGTGACCTTGGGCTAGTCACACTTCTTTGAAGTCTCTCAGCCCCACTCACCTCACAGAGTGTTTGTTGTGGGGGAGGAGGGAAAGGAGAATGTTAGCCGCTTTGACACTCCTTCGGGTGGTGATAAATCGGGATATCAAATCCAAAATAAACTATAGAGACTGTGCGTTCTATGGCTTTGAGGGACAAGTTTGATTTCTTTTCCTATTAGGGTAAAGAATACTGGGTGAGTCGGAGCAATATTCTGATTCAGAAGGAGGCAACCTCAGGCCTGCAAAATATTCAGGATAATATCCTGCAGAACATCCATGGTTTGTGAATGAATCTAGATAATCAACAAAAATGGTGGATTTACTCTGATCAATAGGACAATGAAATCTCCCTCCTTGTGCACATAATAATAATAATAATAATAATAATAATAATAATAATTTATTATTTATACCCTGTCCATCTGGCTGGGTTTCCCCAGCCACTCTGGGTGGCTTCCACTGAATATTAAAAACAATACAGCATCAGACATTAAAAACTTTCCTAAACAGGGCCGCCTTCAGTTGTCTTTTAAAAGTAAAATAGTTGTTTATTGCCTTGACATCTGATGGGAGGGTGTTCCACAGGGCAGGCGCCACTACCGAGAAGGCCCTCTGCCTGGTTCCCTGTAACCTCACTTCTCGCAGGGAGGGAACCGCCAGAAGGCCCTCAGAGCTGGACCTCAGAAGAAGGAAGGCATTACTGCTTGCTTGGGGAGGGAAGAGGGATGGGCAGACCGCACAATGCAGGTATGTGGTAGTTCAAATGGAGCCTAAAAGAATGAGCAGAGCCATAGCTAGGAGGGGCGGGGGCCACTGGGCCCCACACCGCAGTGGACAGCACTTCTTGTGCCCAAGCCAAGCGTCTCTCCTGGGAGTGACGCGGTGGCTCAGGCACCTGCAGGCTCCACAATGCCCAAAAGGGCAGTGTGGGGCATGCATCTACCCACTGCCACCCCCTGAGCCACTCTACAGTTGAGGGGGAGACAGCAGACAGTCTCCCTGCAGGCTCTTCGCAGCTCGAAAAAGCAACGCAGGCCTGCAGGGTGCCAGAGCAGAAGAGGGCTCAGGCACTGGGATTCTGGCGTGCCCTGCCCCACCCCACGGGGGCCTTGCGCCACCCCCATGCACCCAAGGGGCTAGCTATGCTGCTGAGAATGAGCATTTGGATCCTGCCTCTATGAAATGATTTCTTCAATACAAAGTGTGCCGAGTCCAGCTGCTCACTGGCTGTCCCATCTCCAGCTATGGAGACCCATCAGTGATATCTCGCAAACATGTTTTTCCTCCAGCTCTGCACCTCTTCCTTGAGCCATGGAGAGGCGCCAGCAGGTTGCAGAGGTGGACCTTCTTCCCCTTTATAATTACGAAAATCATAATGGTGTATTCTTCCCCTCACACCAAAGCTCCGGGGATTTCCCCTGAGACCAATAATACAAACATCTGAATCCAGAACAACATGTGGCGACTTCCTGCAGCAAGCCAGAAAGAAGAACTGTGACATAAATACTGTTGGGATTCTAAGGGTGAGGTACCCATGCTGCGGAAGTTGCCGCCAGCTCCATTCACCACACAGAGGCAGCTGTAGGTTCTCAATAGTTTATTGCTGCAGAAGATCAGGCTTCAGCAATGCAGTTGCAGACACTGATATATACATACAGCTTGTGGTGTTTGCAGATACAGATACAGAAATATACAAGTACAAAGTAATTCTATTGCTCCAGCAATTCCATGACGTAACCCAGACTTTGACTCATTTCACAAGACTCCCTCACTGACTAATAAGCTGACATTAGCAACTGGCTTGCTTGGCTAACCTCCTTCCTCCATGTTCAGTTCCTCCAGCAAATTTCTTGGGGGAAAAGATTAAGTCCTGTGCCAGTGGGAGTCTGATCTGAGATCGAGGAAAGGCAGGGACTGGGCGATTGGGAAGCTTTCTCTTCCTGACTTTAGATATGAATCCATGGCAAGAATCCAGCTGTGTCCTTGATGTCATTGCTGCCATGATGAAGGCGACTGGCACAGGCACTGCTAGAATGGTATCTCTGCTGCTGCTGTTGTTGCTGCTGCTGCTAATGCCCCAGGCAGTCCACGGACACAGGACAGAGTACTGCCATGTATTCCTGCCTCGTTATCCAAATCAGCCTGCAAATTATTACAGGACAGGAAACCATCTCATTAGTGGAATCATCTCATCAAAAGGTGGTTTAGTTGAACCATACGTCTTCTCCCGGCACCCCTTAACCAGGTTTATTCTGTAGGTACCTATGTATTGATGGATTTTATGCTGCCATATCTGTATCCTGGCTGTCCCCAAGTACAAGGGACAACCTCTATTTTCTGGTCCATCTGATCAAATTCTGTCCTTATTTTGATTCCAACAGCTCCTTCAGGCAACCTTGTTACTTAGCATTCACCTTCATTTGCCTGTAGAAAGCTTAGCTTGCTGTTATATTATGTCTTCATTGTGGATTCTTTCTAATTTGTTGGTGGACAGCTATGAACATTTATTATATCTATATTCATGCTGATTTGCTTGCTGGGTGTTTAGGTATTTTCCCACTTGGAAGCAGCCAAGATGAGCAGTTTCCTAACATTTCAAATCTCTTTAAATTGCATTTGATTTTGATCTTTGAAGGCAATGGGCTTCCCATCAGAAACAGTAAACTCTCCATTTTCTCTTAAATGGCAAAGTAATATCTAACTTGCAACCACAGTACACGCCCCATAAAAACAATACAGACCAATATTTGGGGACGAGCTATTTTAAGATTTGTGTAAAGGCCTTTAGATTGATAAGGGAAATAATGTGATATTTTGTGTTCACTGAAAGGAGAACGGCAGTCTATCAGTACTATTGGTTTCTTTGTTTGCAGGTTCGGTTCTACGAGATATTGGCATATCCTGTCCTTCTTGCTAGCTGTTCAGGAGATCAATCACGATCCCACAGTTTTACCCAACATCACCCTGGGATACAACCTCTTTGACACCTTCTATGATGGCAGACTTACTTCCGATGCCATCCTTGATGGCCATTCTGGAGGGGTAAAGAATATTCCAAACTATAACTGTGAACAACAGAAGAACCCCTTGGCTGTTATTGAAGGGGCTGAATCAGACATCTTCATCCAGATTGCAAGCATGTCAGACATCTACAAAATCCCACAGGTAGGAACTAGGATCGCCAGTTGTGAAGGATGTTACAGATTATATACATTCGAAGAAGGTTAGAACAGATGATCTTTGAGCTCCCTTCCAACTCTTTGAAAAGTTTCCCAGAAAATGTTTCTTTAAAGGCTAAATCTGTCTTGGGACACCCTAGGTCAGGCATAGGCAAACTCGGCCCTCCAGATGTTTTGGGACTACAACTCCCATCATCCCTAGCTAACAGGACCAGTGGTCAGGAATGATGGGAATTGTAGTCTCAAAACATCTGGAGGGCCGAGTTGGCCTATGTCTGACCTAGGTTGTCTTGCTTTTGCTGGGAAGGGGCAGGATTCTACTTCTTTTCTCTAGGACTACTCTAAAATTAGTAAGAAGGAGATTCAGTTTTACTTTCCTAAAGCCCAAAGGATACAGAACAACAATACTTCATTGATTGCAAGGGACAATCCAGCACACGTTAAAGGATTCTGGGGAGAAATGCTAGAGAAATGCCTCTCTGAAAAGAATGAAGCCTATTGTAATTTTATATAAAGGATGTTTATTTAGTAAAAAGACTTTGAGTTTCAGGGTAGGGGGTAGAGAAGGGCAGGACACAAGATCCAATACTTTAATAAACATCAGAAAGTAGTTTAATTTTACATGCTTGAGCAGAGCCTTGGTTTTCAGCGTATGTGCAGAGTCCATTGCAGAAAAGATGGTTTCATGGAGCATTTGTCTGTTATGAAGCAAAGATTGCTCGGATGAAACATGGTGGTATCACAGCTCCATAAGGTGACAGTTTCTGGACACAGCGAAAAGTCCAGAACTGGACACAAGACTCCTGATGTGGTCTCATTCTGTTCAGTCTTTTAAGGTCATTCAAACACATCCATCATGCAGGAAGACCTAGTAGAAATACCTACAGTTGAGTGAGTGCACATTTTAGCAGTGCCCCGTTAGCAGGCTGTTAAGATCATAGGCTGATTCACAGAAACTTGCTATAAGCAAGACCACTTCACATAAACAAGCAAACTATGGGTCAATTCGGTGCTCATTCCACTTCTGGAAATTTTCTCCACCCTTCCTCATATTGACAAGGACTTGACAAGGACTTGACAAAGATCAATCTCTTCGAGCTTCTTCCTGGCTGTTATGTACTGAAGTTCTCACCCTGGGCCAGCAGGGGGATACGGTAGATAGTTATGCAAATGAAGGATTGAAAGTGACGTTCAGTGATTGGATAGTTTGTATGCAAATGAAGGATTGAAAGTGACGTTCAGTGATTGGCTAGTTACAGAAAATGGTTACTGTTGCATTCTAGTGGAGCTCTGTATAAGCAGGCTGACTGAGCTCCTCAGTTCAGTTCAGTTCCAGCTTACAAATAAAGAGCTGCTTTGGAAAAATCGCTGTGTCGTCTGATATGTTTGCCCACAACTTAACACTGGCGACGAAGGTGGGATCGATGGACATCAGAGCACAGCCAGATGCGGCCATCCTCTGAACTGAGCTGAATCACTGAGCTGAATCACTGAGCGAAATCACTGAGCGAAATCACTGAGCCAATCACTGAACGTCACTTTCGATCCTTCATTTGCATACAAACTATCCAATCACTGAACGTCACTTTCGATCCTTCATTTGCATAACTACCTACCGTATCCCCCTGCTGGCCCAGGGTGAGAAACTTCAGTACATAACACTGGCTCTTAATACTTCTAGGTGAACAAAAGTGCCACAATTCCCCTGAAAACAAACTTTCACTTCCTTACCTAACCAGATAAGCCATGGCTTTGCTCTTCATGATCAAATCCAGTTCCCTTTTGTCTACCGGATGGTCCCAAAGGAAGTAACCCAGTACCTGGGGATTATCAAACTGCTCCTGCATTTTGGATGGACGTGGATCGGAATATTTGCTCCGGACAACGACGCTGGAGAAAGCTTCATGAATGCCTTCACACCTCCGATGATCTGCAGTGGGATTTGTGTTGCCTTTGTGGAAAGAATACTACAAAAGACTCTAGTGGAAAAGTACTTATGGCATGAGCTCCCTGCCATGTGGCAACAAGTCAGTGTGTTTGTTTATTGTGGGGGCTCTGATTATGAATTTGGCCCAATCATTGTGTTGCAACGGAAGCTAGCTAGGAGGAAAGTTTGGATCACTATAGTTTTTAGGGACACGAACATCATTTTATCTTACGATACCGATTCCTTCATGCAAATCCATGGTTCTTTGTCCTTAGTAAGGAAGGCCGGAAAGGGGGCAAAGCTTGACTTCTATGAGGTATGGTCCAGTGAAACAAACGAGTTTTGGGATAATTCTTTTCGTTGTTCATGTTCAGAGGATGTGCTGTCAACTGAAGTATGGACAAGATGCACAGAGAAGGAGAAACTGGAGGTTCTCCCCCAAGAGGAGATCGAAAGAGTTGTGTCTCAAGACAATTACATTACTTACAACGGTGTCCAGGCTGTGGCACTTGCCTTAAACTCGGCATATTCCTCCAGATCCAAACAGATGTTGATGGTGGGTAGGACAAACAGTTTGGGACTTCAAAAGCTGCAGCCATGGCAGGTATTCCCCTTCCTTTTGCAACAGCACTGCAAATTGCAATCTGTTGTCCCATATGCAAAATGTAGGGTTGCCATGTTCCCAGAGGTGAAAATCTGGACAGAGTAGTTGGGCTTTTTGAAGGAACATCTCCCCCTCCCCCCCAAAAAAAATCATTTTGGGGGTTTCCTTTGATTTTTTCAGAATTTTTATATATATATAAACTTGCCATATGTCCAGGTTTTCCCAGACATTTTGCTGATTCAGCAAAAATCCGCCTGAATGCCATTTTTCTGAGTCATTCCCGGACGTGTCAGGGAAAACCTGGAGATATGGCAGCCCTAGCAAAATGTTTGCTCGTTGCTGAGGCAAATTCAGTTTGTAAGTCTCCTGTTGCAGGTCAAGCATTTAGCTTGCACTGGTGACACCAGAAGATGCTCACCTCTCTGTTCAGTTGTCTTCCCTGGTGTCCTAAGAGATCCGCTCTGACTCTCCTGGGTCCCACGCTGTAGGCTTTCCACATTGACGGAAAGGTGGATCTACACATAATTCTCACATATCTTCTCTCTAATAAGATATTTATTAATCTACAAAATTTATATACTGTTTACTAACTAGAATAAAAGGGAATACAGCAAACACACCTACCCAATATCAGGGAGGTCCAAAGGAAAGGCTCCCACATGAAACCACAGTGTGACAGTTCTGCAAATCTAAGCACCTTTGAGTCCAGAAGTGCAGTGGCCCAATTCACAGGCGATTAGACTGCAAAATGAGCAGGGCTGGGATATTCAATAGGCTTCCAGTGTGGTGAGAGCCAGTGAGGTGTAGAGCCAGTGTGGTGTAGTGGTTAAGAGCGGTAGACACGTAATCTGGTGAACCGGGTTCGCGTGTCCACTCCACCACATGCAGCTGCTGGGTGACCTTGGGCCAGTCACACTTCTCTGAAGTCTCTCAGCCCCACTCACCTCACAGAGTGTTTGTTGTGGGGGAGGAAGGGAAAGGAGAATGTTAGCCGCTTTGAGACTCCTTAGGGTAGTGATAAAGCAGGATATCAAATCCAAACTCTTCCTCCTCCTCCTCCTCCTCTTCTTCTTCCTCCATATTTTCTTTATCATTCCAGCTTCATCCCTACTTGAGAAAAGCCCAGTCGTTTAACACCACCCAGGGTGGACTGCATCTGGATGAGAATGGGGAGCTGGCAGCCGACTATGGCATTGTAAACTGGGTGCTGTTTCCCAATGGGTCTCGCAGCAGAGTGAAAGTCGGGAGTGTAGAGGGACAGGCATCCTCTGATTTAAAACTCACCATTAACCCGGAAGCCATTGTGTGGCCCTTGTGGTTTAATGAGGTAGAGCATATTATCATCTGTGTCATTATTATTATTATTATTATTATTATTATTATTATTATTTTAAAATGATATTTGTTGAAAAAAGGATTTTCTACAAAATTTTATACAAAAGAAAAAAATAAAATAAAAAATAAAAAATAAAACCATCATTCTCAAATTCTCCACTTTCAATACCTTCTTTCCTTGACCTCCTCCTCCTCCCTTTTCCTGTATCCTATTTTATAATAATCACAGCAAATCCTTTCCATAATTCATAATATTCTGTCATCACATTACCTTAATCTATTTTCATCTTATCTTATTAAAAAAAAAAACACCTTAGAGTTTAAAACTTAAGTCTTAATTTTTTATCAACTTCTCCTTAACCATAGCATTCTTGCCTAATTCTTTTAACATTTTTATAAGAGCCAAATAATTCCATTTCAGCATTTTGCTAACATTCATCAATTTTGTAAAACAGTCCTAATGATAAAAATAAAAAGAAAGAATCCAGTCTTCATCCAACGTCCTTTTCTCCTGGTCCCGGGTTTGTCAGTCCTTTATCCTATTAATCTAGCACATTAACCTGGCAGTCTTATGTCCGAGGCCCTTAAGTCACTTCCATGTCCCTTCCATAGCTCTTCTTTATATTTCCTTTTATTCGTGGGAACTCCAGCTTGGTAGTGTTTTTGACCTTTTTCAACAAAACAATCCCTTTTCCATAGTCCAATCCAGGCTCAATGTAAAATTTACAAGCATATTCCAGATTCCCTTCAAAGTTAGGAGCCCCCACAACTCCAGACATCTGACGGCCCCTTTCCAGACTTGAAAAGACTAAATCTCCCTGTGGAGGGGGGTCTATCCAGCCCCCCATTTCCAAACCAAACCAGATTTTATCTTTCCAAGTCTGATTTTTTCCAAGTTCATTTGTCATTATTCTTTTTAAATCCATTTGCTTTGGAAGGAGGGGCAAGTTCACACCAAACCCCTGAAAGCTGAAGCTCAAACAGCATACAGGTGTGGGGTGGGGGACAATTATCTTCCTGGGGACCCAGTTCACTCCCAGACCCCTAACACTTCTTCTTGATGCACCTTCTCCGGATGGCTAGACCGTGCCTCGCTCCAGATGTTCCAACAGCTGTAGCCCTGGATACGTCAAGTTGGCTCAAGAAGGACAGCCAGTTTGCTGCTATGCTTGTGTTCCGTGTGCAGAAGGGACAGTCTCCATTTCGGAAGGTGGGTGATCTCAGGGGAAAAGGAAACTCATTGGGAGAGCATAGACAGGGCAAAGCTTCACTCAGACACATACTATGAAGACACTAAAGACATTTTTCGGAATATGGACCCTTGCTTGGCTTCTGTAATATTTTTTTTAAAAATTATTTATACTTTGCAGGTATACAATTCACTAATTTAACAGTCATTTTGACATTTCATAACATGAGTTCCTTCCCCCTCTTTCTGCGTTTCCTTACATTTCTTTTTAATATCTTCTGCATCTCCAAATTAACTTAATTTGCTCATTTATCCATCTTCTTTAAGTATATACTCTTATGAAACTGCAGACTGTTACAATAATCCTACCAATGTTCTTATCTGTAAATATTCAGTAAACCATTTCCATTCTTTTATAAAAAAAGTTTGTTATCTTGATTTCTTATTCTTCCAGTAAGTTTCTCCATTTCTGCATATTCCATACGTTTTTGAATTCCATTCTTCCTTTGCTGGGACTTCTTTCCATTTAGTGCCAAGTAGCATTCTCGGCTGCTGTAGTAGCATACATGAATAAGTTTCTATACAGTTAAGTGAGATGAGCACCGCAACCCCATAGTCGCCTTTGACTGGACTTAACTGTCCAGGGGTCCTTTACCTTTTACCTTTACAGTTTAGGTAGTTCTGTCCCTATAATTCCCAAAAGAAAACCTTCTGGGGTTTTTTTTTACAAAGGTTGTTTTAAACATCCTTTTCATTTCATTATGTATCATTTCCCAGTAAGCTTTAACCTTACTACAAGACCACCATTGGCTTCTGTAATGTTAAGCCCCATAACTCAGCATCTCTCAAATGGTGGGCTTCATACTGCAGCCTTTCCTCTGGCTATGTTCCGTTTGCCTATCAGATGAACGAACACCAGGCACCAGAAGCTCCCTTAACTCACAGTGCACAGGTATCCTTGGGAAAGGAAGCTGGGTGTTGTGGTTAGAGTATTGGACTAGGAGCTGGGACAAACTGGGGTTCAAATCCCCACTCTACAATGAAACTCATTGGGTGACCCTGGGCCAACACTGCCTCTTAGCCTAACCCTACCCCACAGGGTTGTTGTGGAGTGACTTGGAGAGAAATGTGGGGTGTAAATTAATTAATCAATTAATTAAATAGATGGAAAAAAATAAATTAAGGAATGACACAGTGCAAGCTCCCAAGGAATTCCCGGTATCTGCTATCAGCTCACCTATCCCAATGGTTTATGGTTGGTTCATAGAACACCAATGTTCTAAGTTAAGAATATAAGAAGTTATTAAATCGTAAACTTGTCTTACAAATGACCTTCACTGGCTATCTGAAGTCTGATTCCTGCTTACAGGGGCTGATAAGCAGATCTTCCTAGCAAATACAAGGATAAGAGCTTCTATAGCTGTTAGGTTCAGGATGTTACCTATTTCATCAGAACACATATGGGATGGGAGATGCGCTGAGGTTAAAGATAGCTCATGCGGGATGCAAAATGAAACTTTTGTCAGCTGTGCTGATCCATGAAGATAAACCATATTTTTAAAAATCCAGACTAGCACGCATAATTACAGTGGTACCTCAGGTTACATACGCTTCAGGTTACATATGCTTCAGGTTACAGCCTCCGCTAACCCAGAAATAGTGCTTCAGGTTAAGAACTTTGCTTCAGGATGAGAACAGAAATTGTGCTCCGGCGGCACGGCAGCAGCAGGAGGCCCCATTAGCTAAAGCGGTGCTTCAGGTTAAGAACAGTTTCAGGTTAAGAACGGACCTCCGGAACGAATTAAGTACTTAACCCGAGGTACAACTGTACAAGCTTTATGTTAGCTACCGAAGTGTCTCCTCTTCCCTTCAGATGCAGACCACTGCTCAAAATGCCCAGGAGATCATCATCCAAACAAGGACCAAGAAAAATGTATCCCCAAGGCTACCAGTTTCCTATCCTATGAATACTCTTTGGGGATCCTCTTGGCTTCTATTTCCCTCTTCTTGTCTTTCTCAACAGGCATCATCTTAGGAACCTTCATTAAATACAAAGAAACACCCATAGTCAAAGCCAACAACCGGGACCTCTCCTTCATCCTCCTCATCTCTCTCCTGCTTTCCTTTTTGTCCTCCTTCCTCTTCATCGGCCGGCCAAGAAGAGCAACCTGTCTTCTCCGACAAACAGCCTTCAGCATAATCTTCTCTCTTGCAGTCTCTTCTGTGCTGGCCAAAACCATCACTGTGGTGCTGGCCTTCCTGGCCACAAAGCCAGGGAACAAGGTGAGAAGATGGCTGGGGAAGAGTCTGGCCAACTCCATTGTCATTTTCTGCTCCAGTGTCCAAGTTCTCATCTGCACCACCTGGCTGAGTACCTCTCCCCCATTCCCGGAGTCTGACAAGCACTCCCAGCCCCAAGAGATCATCCTGCAGTGCAATGAAGGGTCTGTTGCCATATTTTATGGTTCCCTTGGCTACATGGGCTTCTTTGCTGCCATCTGCTTCACAGTGGCTTTCCTGGCCAGGAAGCTGCCTGGGGCCTTCAATGAAGCCAAGCTGATCACCTTCAGCATGCTGGTCTTCTGCAGTGTTTGGGTGTCCTTTGTGCCCACCTACCTGAGCACCAAGGGGAAGTATATGGTGGCCGTTCAGGTCTTCTCCATCTTGGCCTCCAGTGCTGGGCTTCTGGGCTGCATCTTCATCCCCAAGTGCTACATTATTGTACTGAGGCCTGATCTGAATAGAAAGGAGCACCTCACAACAAAAACTAAATATGGTACCTGAACGTTGAACAATTATTTTCAGTTTTGGCAAGAGATGCCCAGCACACCAGTAATGAAACCCATATATTTGCTTTTGTAATGTAGCTTCTTAGATTTAAATCTCTTTCTTTCACATAAATCACGAATGACTTTGCTTTGATTTTTTTACATATTGCTTTATCATAGCCTGATTCCCACAGTTCCATATTTCCTCTAATGTGTAGCTGCCTTCCGAAAGCACAATTAAAAATACTAGTTTTTGCAGGCTTGGTGTACTGAACCATGCACAAAAAATGGAAATCAGAAGAAATACCAACATTGAAAGATTGGCAACATAATTTTTTTGAAATGATTGAATTAGCAAAACGACGGCAACAATTAGAATGCAATCTAATCAAAATCTCAAACAGGAATGGAAATGTGTAGAAGAATATATGGCCAAAAGATACTCCAACAATAATTTACTGATATGCATACAGTGGTACCTCTAGATGCGAACGGGATCCATTCAGGAGCCCCATTTTCATCTAGAAGCAAACGTAACCAGCGATGGCATGTCTGCGCACACGCACGTCATTTTTTGCCGCTTCTGCACATGCGCGAGATGTCATTTTGAGCGCATGCGCAAGCGGCGAAACCTGGAAGTAATGCACTCCGTTACTTCCGGGTTGCCGCAGAGCGCAACTCGAACGCACTCATCCCGAAGCACATTCAACCTGAGGTATGACTGTAGACTGATTTCACAAAGTTAAGTGAAGCTAAGCAGATATATAAGACTGAATGTTTAATTATTAAGATACAAAAATACAATCTCAATAATAAAGTTATAAAATAATAACAAGGAAATCACGCACGGATGGAGAGAAGACACAGGGCAAGAAATAAGAAAGGGATAAATGTTGGTACATAATGAAATGTGAAAATGTGAATTTACGAATATAATGTATATGTATCATTATGTAAAGATTTCATATATGTATTGCAACATTAATAATAAATAAATTTTTTAAAAGCTTTGTATTAAAAAATAATAAGAATAAAAATAAAAATACTAGTTTTTGCATGCTTGGTGTACTGAATGTCATTGGATCAAGTCTCACTCGCTGGATCATCACCTTCAATGGGCTTGCACGTTCCAATGACCCTTGTGAGCAAAGGCATCAGATATCTTGTACTCCCAGCAGAGTCACCCAAGTTAGTAAGGTCAAAGGGGAGGAGCTAGACAAAG